TTTTCTTCTCTCTCCCTCCTCTCTCTCTCTCTCTCTCTCTTTCTCTCTCTCTTTTTCTCGTATCTTTCGTTTTGTTTTACGCGTGTTCATCCATAGTTATAGTGTCGTTTTCTATTTTAATTATTTTTTTTTCTCTTTTTCATTTTTTCTATTCTTTCCTCTTTTTTTTTTTCTCTCTCGTTTTCTTTCTTCCTTTTTGTAGTGTGCGGTTTCGTGTACCGAGAGATATTACTTATATTGTGCTCGTGTAATGCAACAAAATGTCTGTGACGGATGTAAAAGCATGCGTTCGCGTAGTTAACGTTTACTGGTTTCAGTAACATTTTCTCGTACGATTTTTTTCGCCTACCATATATATTTTATCTTTATATACATACGAGCAACTTGGAATGACGATGGAAAGAATGTTGGAGATTAACGTTTACGTTATTTTACTGTGTGCCTCGAAAGTTTTCTCTGCGTGTTTTTTATTCGTATTTACACTGATTATAAGTAACGTTCTTTGAAGATAGGATACCGTTATTGCTTTGTCCGTTGTTCTTTAAAAAAACCTTTATTATTCGATTACATCTTTTTTACTTGGAATGATGCCTGCCGTGTTTTTTATATTTTCGAAAATGAAACGATTCTTGCATGCAAACACTTTATCCCCTCCCCGATAATTACGATATACTTTTATAATTAATCCAAGGAATGCTATTTCTATCTAACCGATACGACGTATCGGTTGCCTCTCTCCCTTAATTCGTTCGAGACACTTTATAATTTCGTTTTATCATTCTTCTTCTTTGTCGAGTATATATTTTTAATTCCCCATTTGCAAATTAATTTCTCCGAGCACGTTTTCATTTCAGTAATTTACAGATTAATTACAAACGCACGCATATTTTTCCCTCCCCCCTTCTTTCACGGTTTTTAATTTCACGATTCGACGATTGTTTTCTTTTTCCTTTTTTTTTTTTTTTTCTTCTTTTTCATTCTATCAATCACTGCTCGATGTTATTTCTGATAAATTAGTTAGTTTGTTACCTTGTTGACAATCGACAACAACGACGAATGAATGAACATCTTACTCCCCCTCCTCTCATCTGAATACGACATCGTCAATTCAAGTAGTCCAAACACAGACACCACCGATTTTGTTGCCACACACGTTGTTGTTTCACACGTACTTTATTATACTAGCGTTGAGTAAGTAAGTATGCAGTAACAGTCGAAACCCGTTTTGGAAAATTGCATGCGTCTCTCACGACATACACGACACACGAGTACACAAAACGCGACTACAGAAAACAGTCAAACACGCGACAGCAAAGACAATTGTAGAAGAATCGTAGTGAGAAAACGCTCGGAAATCGGTCGGATCCTCGTCGACGAAAAACCTCGTCTCGCACGCCGTTCCACAAAAACGGATCGACGCGAACAATGGCTAATTAGTTCGAACGAAATATCAGATTTCGCTTAGCTCGATCGGAGAAGACGCGGATTGATCGACCCTCACACGTGTCCCAACCCTCATAAATTTCGATTCTCCGTATTAAAAAATGCGGGAGGGACATCGATTCGAGAGACGAAACGATACTTTTCCTTCTTCGTTTACATCGTTCGCATTCGCCTCTCGATTCTTCGATTCTTTGTTCCCGCACGCCTGATTCGAAAGAACGGTCTGTTTCGGTTCGTAAAACGTGGCATGGTGCGTGTGTCGGTCACGCGAAAACGAGGCGATTGTCTGGAACGACCGGGACAAAGCGAGGAAGAAGGGCGAGGCGACAGGGTGCAATCGCGGGGGTTGCCGATCGACGAGGATCGTCCGAGAGATCGGGCGAAGACGAAGCGCCGGCCCGCGGGGAACCGGCGATCCGGAAGATTTTAAGCCAATTGGATCGTATTTTTAGTGCCGCCGCGCTGGACGGTCGAACCTATCGACCAGAACGCCGTTGTAGGTCACGGCGTCTCCATCCCCTGTCAGGCTGAAGGATTCCCCATTCCGACGGTGACTTGGAAGCAATCGATCGGTAAGTCACGACTCTGCCCCCGAGTATCCATCGTCCCAGCGCGGAGAAGATTCCGCCCGGTACCGAAAAACTGGCCCTCTGTCTTACCGGGAAACCACCGTTGGCTGACTTACGTCGGACATCGATCACGAACGATGACGCGATTAGTCACCCTTTAAGGAGGAACTTTCTTATCTAATCCTGTTCTTTCCCCGATTCGCACTTATCATTTTCCTTCCGAAATACTGTAGTACATGGATTGCTTTTAATATGTGTTTAGAAGCATATCTGTGTGGATCGAGGTTTTATTTATTTATTTATTTTTTTTTTTTAAAGAGAGAAGCATCGTTTTTCTAAATTCTTCTAAATTCGGGTATTTTCCACGATATTTTTTCCGACGCCACACGGTCGTCGGCTGATTGATATGATACCGCATTCCACTGCGGGAAATTTCTTTGGCGCTCGTACAAGCACTCGTACGTTTTGAGTACGCGGGCAAGTTGGTGTAAGAGGTTGATACCACTTAATAAGCGGAATTCAATGCTCGCTTTTTGACGGGTTGTTTCCCCTTTACGCGAAACTCGTCTGCATCGATCTTTATAAACTCGCACACGTGTGCGCATCCGGGATGTAATGTGATTCCTTTCGAAAAGTTCCTGTTTCTTTTTAATGGTTTCCCTCGAGTTTGTTTAATTGGCAACGTCGATGCCTCTTATCGATTCTTTTCTCTTTCACGACAGCGTGGCATGAAAATTTCCTTGTCGACGAACGAAAGAATAGAATTTCGCGTCACGCGTCGTAATGATGATTCCGGTTGGGAGGAGGGGGAAAAAAAAGAAAAGGAAATAATCATGGAATTCTGTATAATGTTTTTCGAAGAGAAGGAAATGAAAGGAAAATGGCGAATCCTACCGTAAGGGAAAATTTAAAATTCTATCAGATGGGATCGATTCGTGAGCCGGTTCCGCCTCGATTTATAAGCAACGACGGGAAAATCTATTCGAACGTTGTTCCGATTATAAATATCTTTTTTCGCCCGTAGAAATTTATTAGCCGAAACGAAACAGAAGAAATTTCCTCCAGACGTTTCTTCTTTACACGCCCTTATCCCTCTTTTCTCTTCCTCTTCGGAAGGAGATTTTTAATAATTCCGGCCGACTTTTGAACGCGAATCGATCGACCATTTTCATCGAGTTACGAGTGTATTTAACCCGAGGCTGGTTGACGAAGATATCCATCCAGAAATTTCGCTGATCGGCCAGCTTTCCAGCCAGGTCTCGTTCAATCTGAAATAAGCCCTCCGCCCGATGAAACGGTAGTACAATTAGTTTCACCGGTTCGTTGCTCGTCCACGGACGAACGTTACATCGCACCAATGAAATTTCTTCCCTTTTTCCTCGATCGCGGCCCATTTCTCGTCCCACTCCCTATTCCAATTTCGCGAAAGTTAAATTGCTCATCAAGCGGGGGATACATTTCAAATGAGCCGGCCAATCAGCCGCGGTCTATCAATTAAAACGATTTAATACGCATCCAACGCTGGGATTTTCTTTTCTTCTTTTCTTGTTCTTTCTTTTTTTTTTTTTTTTTTTTGGAAGAAA